AAAGAATCAGCTTTGACTTTGGTTGGCATGAAAATCACAACCATATTTCATGTCCAACACTGAAACATTGTGGGTCTGGCAAGGAGTACATGAGAGAGGAAGAAAAACCAGGAACAGCTGGCTTGGGGTTGGAATGCAATTTATTACCAAATAATTACATGCTATTTGTGAGCTGGGATCACACGCTTGAGTTTGTGCCACAAGAAGAGTCTACCCCAAGCGTTTCCCAGAGCCCTTTACCTATTTTTTCCATTACCATTTGCAATGGGGATTGTGTAGGTTCTAAACACAAGTCCACCAAGGTATGTGTGTGTGTATTTGTGAGAATGTGTGAGACAGTGAGCCAGAAAGAGAGCTTACAAGCAACGGAGGAGCATCTCTTGGATGCACAATCCCTCCTGGTGCTAGGCAGAGAGAAGGACAGATCTCTATCTAGCTTTGGGTCCAGATTTAAGAAGAGCCTTCCACATTCAAAAGCGTGTGCTAAGCCTGGCTCCCTGTGAAAAACAGCAAACAAAATGCCCCAAACACAGGTAGACTTCATCTGCCTTAGGGGCAGGTTACAGGAGAACAGGCAGGCAAAGAGGTAGGAACATGGTAGGGAGGATAGGAACACAAATAGGCAGTTTCAGGCAGATGAAGCAGAGCAAAAGTACAAGGTCAGAAACTAGAGAAATTCAGAGGACGACCTGAGGACAGAGGGACTGCTGAGGGACACAGTATGGGGAGAGCAGAATCAGGGCTATTTACCTGGGGAATTTCCCAGTCTCTTGACACCTGTTTCCTCAAGGGTAAACTGAGGCTACTGAGAACCCCCATGTCATAGGGTGCCAGTCCTGGCACCAAGTAGATATGCAGTAGATGAGGCCCTGCCTAGCTCTCTCGGCGCTGGCGTTGGGTGGTTCCTGGTGAGAAATCCTCCCTCATGGTCGCAGCCTGTGTGAACTATGGAATGGAGAGGGGCCCTGTCTGCAAGAAGCAAGTCCAGAGGGGAACCAGTTACCTAATGGGGGGCCCAAGAAGAGCTCTCCTTCACTTTTCAGACCTTCTTCCATCCCTTATTGTCCATCCTTCCAGACCTGGCTGGGTACTTGCTGGTTTCCAGGGCTCTGCTGGAAGAGAGGGTGGAGGCAGTGTTCCGGAGGCAGAAGAAGAAATTCTAAAGTTTGTCTTTTAGGAGCTCATCGTCTGTCAGGAGGGCAGTGGCTCACTACCCAGAAAAAAGGCATAGAAACTAGGTTTTGGGGCTGAAAGAGCTCAGGGCCAGGAGGCAGCATCAGAGAAGGAACTGGAGCCTGAAGGTGGAGAGGGTGAGTATGGGGGTGGGGGGGTGGCACTGTAGGCAGTGGGCACAGCTGGAGGAAAAGCCGGAGAGTTTGATGGACAGCAGTCGGGTGGAGAATGCGGAAGCCTAGAGACAGGAGCAATAGGCTGGGTTCTGAGCGTTGGGGATGTCTGACCTCAGGAATTACAGTGAGGATAAACAGAAGGCTCTGGGGTTTTTGTTTGATCAGGGATGGGAAGTGCAGCCAAAGCACCTAGAGACAGTTCCCTGGAAACAGGACAGGTGTTGGGGATGTGGGGTGCTGAGTTCACACTCCCCAGGGAAGGGCAACTCTCTCTGGATAGGGTCCCCACCTCCTCGGTCCAAAAGGACCTCACTTGACCAGGCCCTGGCAGTGTTGACAAATAGGTCCCCCCCACTGGCCAGACAGCTGAGATGTGGCATTGTTAAGCTGGAAGTGAGTCACACAGCTTTTCCTCTCTTCCCTTCCTCTGCACTTGGCTGGTCTGAAAGACACCTTTTGCACTCTCTCTCTCTTTCACAAACACACACACACCTTTCAAAATCCATTAACTATAAATAAGTGGTCTATGAGCATAAGCACCTCAGTCCCGCACTGGGGGAGGCGAGGGGCTTGGCTCAGGGCTCTGGAGCATGTGTGCATCTGCAAACTGTGTCTATGTGCACGTGCCATAGAGTCTCTGACATTCCGGTGTCTGAATTTCTGAGCTCGTCTGTGTGGTTGAGGTCAGGAGGAGTATCTGGGAAGAGAGCTGTGACATACATGTGTCTGTGAGGTTGCAGCTGGAGGAAAGTTTCCATGGGGGTAGGGCTGTGCTTTTGCCAGCTGGGGGTCAGGGCACAGATGTATATGTTGTATGTCTGTGCTACTGAGGGGCAGGGCATGGGGGGTGAGGGCGTATTTGGGCCCCAGGTGTGTCCACATGGAGACCCGTGTTGTGGAGGAGGTGGGCACTGGGCATGGAGGAAGTGCTGTCTCCTTGTGTGCCTGGATGGCCAGCCTTCCCTCTGACTCTGCAGGATGAGAAAGGCCTTGGGTTTGTGACTGAGGCCAGTGTCACACCCTCCAGTTACATTTCTCTCAGCCACACCGGGTCAGAGATGAAACCAGTCAGCACTGGTGGCTGTGGTGTCCCATTCGGAAGGGGTCTCCAGTGGGAGGGAAGCTCATCAGACTGAGTGCCTCGCCTAGGAAAGAAGAGAAGGCAGGGCCTTGTTCCCTCTCTCCCTCCTGCTCTCCCTCCCCAGGGTCTACCCCCCACCCCCCTCACTCCCAGAGGCAGAGCCCAGCCAGGCAGAAGGGGCAGCTGGAGCACAGGCCACCACCAGGCAGGACTCAGCTCTGCAGCCCAGAGAGGACGTGACTCCACCAGCGTGCAGGAGGCCACAGGGAGCAGAGCTCAGCGGCCGTGTTCCCTTCCTTCCTCCTCACTTGTCCTGACTCCTGAGGACCACTTTCAGTCAGGGCCTCCCTGGCAGGGGAGGGGACATGTGCAGGGCCCTGGGCCATCTCTAGGGGGCACCAAGAGGCAGCCATCATGTGCCTACACCTGCCAATGGATTAAATGGGCAAAAGAAGCAGGGTAGGCCTTGGGGAGGGGAAGAGAGACTTGAGGCTGTGTGTCAGTGGGGGATGGAAGTTCAGTGGGGCCTGACAAGAGGGTCTGTCTGTGGGATGTGTGCCTTCTGTCCCCCACTGGCCATAGGATGAGCACCAGCAGCCCCCTCTGAGAATTCAGTCCCAGGCTTACATGAACTGGGCTCCATAGCGGGATGGTTGGGGTGTCCCTGGATGCTTGATTTAGGCCCTACTCCTCTTGGGATGGTGGAAGGAGGGCAATGAGGGATAACTGGGGTCTGCCTGTTTTTCCTCTTCTCTTCAGGTCTCTACACCTTCCCCATAGAGCCCCTGAAGGAGATAAAAATTCGTCACCTCAGTGCCAGGAAGTGCCAGCAGACAGGGTGATGGGACCATCCTCCAGCATGGGCCCTGGAGGGAGGGGTCACTTGGGAGACTGCAAATCTCCTCGGATAGCCTGCTGTGACCCGGGGCTGTGGGGGCAAAGCCATGCCCCTCCACGCCGTGTGACCAGGCTCCCTCCACACCTGCATTACCCAGAGGGAGGCAGCTCCAGGGTCCAGTCCGAATTCTGGGGGGTGGTCCCAGTCCAAGGAGGTGCTGCTTTCCTCCAGCACTGCCCATCCATAAAAGCCATTTGTGTCCAGGAGACACCGCCCACCTGGGGCTGGGGGCAGGGGCTGCCGCAAACACAGCACCACAGTGAAAGCAGGACAGACGCGCCTGTGTGTGCGCAGGCTGAGGTGCCGCAGGAAGCATGGTCAGGGCCACGGTGTTAATGGGCCTCCTTCCTGCCCTGCCCTTGCCAGCTCCTCAGTGCTCATCCCCTCTCCCCCGAAATGCCCTCCCGTTTCCGCTGAGTCCCAGTGACACACCCTCCGTGTTTCTGGCCACAGATCTGTCCTGCTTTGACAAACCTTCCTCTCAGGCTTTGGGTTTATGGCTTTTCCGTGTGCCTTCCTTCATGTGGTTGGGAACCAACAGGCTGGGCCTCTCTCTGGTGGAGGCGGCTGGGGCTGGGCATGGGGGCCAGGCCTGGCCAAGCAATGTAAAAGGAGATCAGGCCCAGCAGGGAACAACACAGCAGGGATGGGCTCTGTCCTAGGAGGACAGGCAGCGGAGGCCAGGGCGAATGCAGGAGCCAAGAGGGGCCCCCAGAGAGGACAAGAAGACCATCCTAGAAGGGGGTAATACCAGCCCAAAGAGCAGCTGCAAGAAGGCAAGCAGGGGTACTTGCCAGTTTGTTTTTATTTTTGTTTTTAAATGAAACATTTACTAAGCATTGATTGGCCTGTGCTAAGAAAATCCCATTAATTCATTATCTCATCCCAGTATCATCATCTCTATATTTAGGATGACAAAACTGGGGCCCAGAAAGGTTAAGCAATGTATACCCAGTTCACAGAGCGGATTAGCGACAGGGTGAGGGATTCAAGCCCAGGCAGTATCTGCGTGCTGAAGAAAAGCCACTACCCTACTTGCCTTCTTGTTGGTCACGGTTGGGCTTTTGTATCTGGGCCCGGGTCCCTGAGCCTCTGGGTCAACTCCAGGAGGGCCAAGGAGGAATCACTCAATACCAGGGTTATCTGTGCCTCAGAGACAAGGGCATCCTGGGAGCCTCATGCCCCCTTAGGTACCAGCATCATCTACAGTTGATATTTCTCATATAAGGAGACATATTTTCAAATGTATGTAGAAGCTGTCAAATAAAATGCACACTCACTTACAAGTGCTATAGAATGTATACGTGTTAACAGTCATTTGTATTTTTTCTCAGTCAAAGGATTTTAAAAGTAGGATGGCTATCATGGGGAGCAGGGAGCTGGTCTGCAAAATGTTTTGGTTCTATAAAAGAGTATACTCAAAAAGTTAAGAAATCACTTTACAGACTGACACCGACACTGATGCCCTGAGAGGTAGCATGTCCTGGCCAAATTTTGGAGCAAGCTGGGGCCCCAGTAGGGTACTCAGAGCAGGGTAGGGCCCCATTTCTGTCTCGTCAGGGCAGGCCCCATATCTCAGCAAAGGAGGGTCTGCCCCGGGGCTGCAGGAACTTGAGGGACTAAGAGACCAACAGAAGTTCAGGCCCCTGCTTGTCTTCCAGCAATGCAGGCACAATTCCAGAAACCAAGAAAGGACCCCAGCCTTGCCTGTCATTTACTTCCTGCTGCTCTTCCTAAGGCTGGCATTTGTAGGACCGGCTGGGGAAGAAGCCAGCTATGTATGGACAAGCAGGAAGGTCCCCCTACTCCACACAACCGGGCTAGAGGGACAGACAGCCCCCGACACACACACAATGGAAGGAAGCAAAGGAAAGACATTTCTGGAGCACTTACTACATTTTTACAGGTTAGTATTTTTCTGTTGTTTTTAACCTCAACAATCTGTAAGGCAGATCTGACAACTCCCATTTTTACAGAACCACTTCAGAGAGATCAAAAACTGTTAAAAGGCAGAGCCAGCACCTAACCTTGACACCACCCAGTCGGGCCTGATATGTGTTCTGGGGGTGCAGAGCTGCTGGAGGGAGGCCTGAGAGAGGTGAGGCCCAGCCCCCACAGTCCCTGCCTCATGAACATCCTCTGCCTGTCTTTGTTCACAAAACTGAAAAAGTGATGATGGCTTTCCTTCCTCTCTTTAAGAAAACAACAGAACCAAAACAAACAGAGAAGGGGAAGTCCCCTCCTACAGCTTTTGCTGGATATAAAAGGAAGAAATAGTTCCAGTCATGCCATGGGCCACCCTGCTGCTGCAACAGGGTCTGGGAGGGGAAGAGAGAGCACCCCTCACGAAAACTCAAAACTTCAGCAGCTCCCACTTCCTGGTCCTGCTCTGAGCTCCTTGGTCTCACCCTCAGCTACTTCTTCTGCCATCAGTGACCTCACCACCCCAGATCGAACACACACACACACACACACACACACACACACACACACACACACACACACAGCTGAACCAGCTGAAACTTCCCAGAGGGCTTTAGTAAATCCTAAGAAAGAGGAAATAAAAACATTCATGCCCAAAAAATAAAAACAGCCCCCAAACTGCACACCAGCACTGTCAACCTCTCATGGCCAGTTCCCTTCAAGGTTTCTAAGCCCTGCCCCATTTCTCTCTTCTGAGCTATCTGCATTCAAAGCCTCTAGAGCAGTGCTAGTCTACAGGGCATCCTCCTTCCTGAAGTCAGGCTTGTCTGTACCTTAGCAGCTGCAACAGTCAAAATCTGTAGTAGCCTTGGGTTCAGGATACTGTAGAATACCCACCTCCACCCTGACCAGGACCCTCACATTCATCTCCAGTTCAGCTTTCAGTTCCAGATGCTGACTGGCTCATTTAGAGTGATTGACAGCTTCAGAGATCTGCCCCCTGCATTAAGGATAGTGGCCTTAAAGGCTCAGCACTGTCATCCTCACTGAGCCTGCAATAACAGAACTTAGTTTCACAGAACTGGATCATCAGTCAGCCGTGCTCTTTGACAGGGACTCTGGGGTCAGCAGCACCTTTTGAAAACTGTCTGGATAGATTAAGGAATTTGTGGTGGGAGTTCAAGGTCAGACTGTAGCTGGAGAATAGATTTTTCCCCACTGAGACTAATTAGTCTCAGCAAATACTAAATGAGTACTTAGTTATGTATCTGGCACTACTCCTGTGATGTGGGAAATGTAAGAAGACAGATTAGTCTGAGTCTCCCAGGGACCTGAGAGAGATGATGGTGGGGAGAGGATTGTGCTTAAACAATTAAAGAGTCTATATGGAAACTCTACTCTTCTTGGAGCTATGGGAAGTTAGAGGGAGAAAGAGCAAGGGTGATTGCTAACTATTTGAGGATTACTGCACCACAGGACTCTAAGCTTCCGGTTGTACCCAAGGCTAACAGGTCCTGCCTGCACTTAGTAGCTTCTCAGGTGGTGTCTGTTGGACAGAAAACCACTGTCTGGGCTTTCCTGGCAGCAGAGGGTCAGAGGAGGTCAAGCAACGACTACTCTCTTGAGGATGAGGCCAGGGCAGGGCTGAGGCCAGACCTGCCACCTCTGAGCAATTCCATCTCCTCAGCAACACTTAGCCTTTATCCTTTTTCATCTGAGCATTAAGGCAGCCCTCCTGCCTTTTTGCTTTGTGCCTTTATTACATCCTCTAATTGACCTCTGGAGCTATTGTGTGAAAACACAGGTCAGATTGTGTCATGCTCTCCTTCAAAAGCCTTTGCTGTCCATTTCCCACCAAATAAAGTCTATGACAGTGCCTCTCTCCCCACAGCTGGAGTGAGCACAGTGATTAGCGGCTCAGGCTCCACACTCTACCTCTTACCAGTTTGTGACCCAGGACAAGTTACCAATACTTCCCAAGCCCCAATTTCCTTTCTGTAAAAAGATGCTAAGAGTGTGCACTTATAGAGTTCTGGTGAGGGTTAAGTGAGATGTATCCTGCATAGGGATACACAGTGGAGCTCTAGAGCCCTCAACACTCATTGGCTTTACTCAGCATTATGAAGATGATAGATTTGTCTTCCCACTGACCCAGGAAGCTTCTTGAGAGCAGGCACCACATGATAGTTGCCCTGTACCCTCTCCCAGGTCTCAGCTCAGTCTTGTGCCAGCTCAGCATTGTAGGAGCTCAGTAATGCTTGTAGACCAGGGAGTAGAGTTTGGAAAGGGGACTTGCAAGTGGTGGATTTATTTCTCCCAGCTCACAACACCCTCCTCTGCCATCCCAGCCCCTACACACTCCTACTCAGTCTTTAAGACTGCTCTGTCTGCCTTGTACAGAAAGCCTTCCCTGTTGCTCTGGCTGGGCCAGGCTCCTCGGTGTCCCCACTGCACGAATGGCAGATAAGTCTTGATCAATGCACTATTACATACTAGTTCTTGATTTAGGCAGCTGGCTCCCCAGAGGCTGTGCATCCCTCTTACTCCTCTGCATAGTCTGGCTCAGCAGCTGACCAGAGGGGTTTCAATTAATGAATTAATGAATTTTCTCTGTGACCTTTAGCAAATTCCCTCTGTCTCTTTCTAACAGAGGGAAGAACTCTCTTTCTTGGATAAATTAGAGGAAGGGGCCCAGAGATAGAGGGCCAGGAAAGAAAAGGAGTGGCTTGTGAAACCCACTATGGCCAGATGCATCCATCAGGGGTGGGCACGTTGGCCCACCCAGTGAAAGAGCCGGGGGAGAGACTTATCCCCTGATATGCCCCTTGGTTCTCCTCATGTGGGGAAGGAAGGACAAGGACCATGGGGAAGTCTGTTTCCAGGTTCTTCCCATCCAGTAACTTGGTCCCCAAGACCTCCCCACAGGATCTGCCCTACCCTCCTGGCCATCAGCACTATCTGTGACCTTGAACCAGTTACCACTCACCCTCAGACCTCCAAGTTCTCCTCTCTACCGACCTGGGCTTAATGCGCCAGAGCCTGGCAAGGAGCCCAGGGGTGGAATCCTGGCTGCCTGATCTCCCCTCACTGGGGTGTTGGCCCAGGCAGGCAGGTTTCAGGTTTCAGGTTTCAGAGTGTTTTCCTGTCTAGGGCACTTTCTATTTTTCAATACTTTTCCTATCACAGCCAAACAACAAAAAAGGAAATTGGTGAGCCTTCTAAGGGCTGGGAAGGTTTGGATGCGCAGAATCCACCATGGGAAAGGCCTGGAGGCAGGGCTGCAGGGGAAGAGGCCCCCCTTCTACCTTCATTCCCCAACACCCCCCCTCCCTTCGGGGCTGACTCATTGTTTTGCAACAAACTGCAGGCAGCCAGGGTCTGGCAGTTTCTTAAGTCCAGCCCCAAAGCAGTTGGGTTCACTCCCAGCCCTCCCAACCGCCCAGCCAGGCCCAGACCGATTGGGTTATCTCCACCCGCATCCCCTTTGTTTGGGGCGGTCACTTGTCCACCCGAGGTAAACAAACTCTGGGAGAGTGACAGAAGCAGCCTGCTATCTCCGAGGCCAGAGGCCTGGCTGGGGAGGAAGCAGGAGTTTCAGAGAGAGATTCCCTGGCGGGGAGGAGGGATTTCAGAACGCAGCATCCAGCGGCGAGTACCTCCGTTCAAACCCCAGGTCTGCCACTTACTGCTGGTGACCTTGGGCAAGTCACTGACCCTGTCTGCTTCAGCTTTCCCATCTACAAATGCCAGGGTAATAGCACCTTCCTTCTAGAGTTGTTCTGTACATTGAGAGTCACATATTTGTGAAGGGTTATATTAATGATGTTAGTTTTTTTAAAGAGCTATATATATAATGGTTTTAAACTTTGCGGGGAGGAAAGAAGGTCTATAAATAATGTTAAATAAACTCAGCACCCAAGGCCAGGCTCTGAGGGACTTCCCTGGTGTCCCATTCCTCCCCCACCCCCCCACCCTCATCACTCCCTACAGCGATCCGATCTGGGCTCCAGTCTGCATCCCTGAGCTGGGGGCATTGATGAGCCCCAGCAGGACAGGGACTGAGGCCCCAAGCTCCTTTTCAAATGGAAGTTGTTCAGGGAAATTCTCCAGGGAGGCAGGCCCCAGCCTGGGAGGGTCTGGTTGCCTGCGGGGTTGCACAGAGAGGCTCCTGGGTTTCCTGCAAGAGCTTTTGGAATTTCAAAAGGATATTCCCAGGGAGGGACAACCTGCAGGGGTAAAGTGACAGAAGCAGGGTGGCCTTGCTGCAAGCTCTCCCTGCAGCCCATCCGTGGGACCTGTCCTGCAGTTTTCTTCTCTGTCCTGATTTTGCTAAATAGCTGATTTCTTAGGCTCAAGTTCCAGATTCAAATCCTGATTCTGACACTTACTAACTGAAAGACATTGGGCAAGTTACTTTCTCTGAAGCTCCATTTCCTTGTCTGTAACAAGAGACAATAACCCCGCCATGCATGTCGGGAAGGCCAGAGGCAACACAGGCAAAGTTCTTAGTTCCATGCTGTGTGTGGAACCAGGGCTACATCGGTGGGTGTCCTCTAACCCATCCCTTGGGACCTGGGAATCTCCTTACCTCCAGCCTAACTCTATTTGACAGTAGCTTGGTTTCCCTTCGACCCACCCTGCTTCCTGCATCCTTTCCGATGAAGCGAAGGGCCTGCAACAGGCTTCTTGGCCTCTTCCTTCCTGGTTCCCCAACGGTGCCAGTATTGCACAGAAGTTAACAGAGGGCACTTTGGAGTCCGAGACATCCAGGCTCCTCCATCAGTGGGATCCTGGATCACAAGGCATGGGTCCTCTCCAAGCCTCTGTACTCAGTCATTCATTCAGCAAATATTTCTGAGCACCTGCTCTGCACCTGACCTTGTGCAGGCTACTGAAGGTTCTATGCTGAAAAGACAGACGGTACGTACCCTCAGACAGTCATGTCTAAGAAGGGAGACACTATTAGAATAATGTCTTTCCAGACATGTAATTACTGAGTGCTACAGAGAGTAAAGGGTTCTATGGGATAGTATTTCCTGATGGCCTCAAGAGAAGGTATTCCTGAGGTATTTAAGCCAGGACCTGAAAAATATTTGAGAACAGTAAGAGTTGGGGAGGAAGATGGGGAGGACACTGGGCACACAGCAGTAATAGCATGCTCAAAGGCCCTGAGGTTAGAGGAGTTTGGTACTCATACTAAAAGGAGTTCATAATGAGTGAGCAAATGAGAAACTCAACATGAGTTTCAAGAGTAGAAAGGGCCAGATGTGGTGGAACCACATAGACCTTGGGAAAGACTTTGGCCTAGAACCATGGAGTAGTTTTAAGGAGTAAAGGGATGTGGTTAGAGCTCTTTCAAAACTGTCTCCAACAGCTGAATGGATAATGGCTTGGAATGGATTTCAGGAGACCAAGGAGGGGACTATCTTTCAAGGGAGAAGAGATGTAGTTAGAAGAGGATGCAGAGCTGGAGAGAAGGGTGCAGAACCAAGACATGCTTAGGAGGAGGTTTAACAGAGATTAGTGGTAGGGTAGGTATGGAGGTTGAAGGTCAAATACAACTCTCAGGTTTCTGATGAAACCTGGGCAGAGGGCAGGGCCAGTTACTGAG